GCCCCCAGCTCCCCCCTGCCCCCCCCCCGGCCCAGACACTCTGCCCCAGCCTGCTCCTGTCTTCTCCCCTGGCCAGACACCCTGCCCCAGCCTGCTCCTGTCCCCTCCCCCTGGCCAGACACCCTGCCCCAGCCTGCCCCTGTCCCACCCCCTGCAGGCAGACACCCTGCCCCTAGCCCGCTCCTGCCCCTTGCCCAGACACCTACCCTCAAAAAGAGGAGGGCTGGCAAGCATTGAGAGCAGGGGGGCGCAGCCCCCTAGTTTAGTTTAAATCAGAAGTTGATAATGAAACACTAAGCATTTGATGAACACATGAAAATCCAAACAGGAAATTTATAACTAGAGTTACAAACCTAACTGTTCTGAGAAGTTACCCCCTGTGGGAATGCACTCCGGACCACAATAAAATGGTGCTAGATAAAGGGACTGCAAGAATGGTCATATCTCCTTCATGCTGTAGCTCTGCTACCACAAGATTAAATAAGATGTATTCACAATACAATAAAGGGAAGTGTTTCATTTTGCAACTGGAAGAAGGTAAAAAAAATAAAATAAGAGAGAATTCTTGTACAGGGCTACCAAGCTTGGATGTACCAGGGTAAGCAAAAATGTGAACATCATTACTTTTTTTGCACATTGAGGGCTTAGGAAGGAATGGACAAGGGGGGGGGGGGAATGTGATTTACCGTACAGACTCTAAATTCAAAGGTAGAAAACACTAGGAAACACAATGTCCCCATAGCACAATATCCCTTCATGTCCCATATAAGAACACAGAACCAACTACTTGCCAAACAAGGGAGTACGTAGAGTAGGTCTGCAGAGGTTTCCACGTTAAAGAAGTCTTAAAGTCTGCAAGAGTTTAGAAAAAGACTGACAGAACGAAACTGAAGAAACAATTAACAATGAAAGTTTAGCTAACGGATATTCAATGTTCTCTCTTTTCCTTCGGGGCGGGGGAGGGGTTAATGGTTTTCCAATAGTGTGTAATGGTGGCAGTTCTAATTTGGAAAGGGAAAAGACAGTCAAACTGAACTGATCTTCACAGATGAAGATGGGAGCAGGGAGGCACATACAGCAGGACTTTTTTCAAACTTAAAAAGGAAGAATAATTACAGAGGGAAAGACTATGGTCTGAAAAAGGGGGGGGGGGGGGGGAAAGCTGGGGGAAAAAAAGGCTGCGGGGAGGGGAGTTAGACAGACTGAAAGTAGATATCTTAGAAATTCTTATTGCAAAATAACTCCTGGCCAGCCAACCGCAAACACTATAAATATCACAAGATCAACTCCCCTAGCAGATATAAATAAACAAAAAAAAACCTCTGAGATTTAAAAAACAAAAACAAAACAAAAAAGAGAGGCTCTCTGGCAGCAAGGAAGGATGGCTTTGCCTGTTTCCTTCAGAGTCATTTGAAAAATGAAAGAAGAGCAAAAAGAAAAATGTTACCAGCTAAATTTTAACTTTGCTTTCGCTGTCCTGAAAAATCTGAAACATTCTGCAGGAATGTGTTTTCCTCCTCCTTTCCAAATAAGTTGATTTACCCTGTATTGCTTGGGTCTTAACTCATATACATTTTGCTTTTTCTTCCTAAATCATTGCTCTGAGGTAGGGCTGGAGAGGAAAGGTTTTATATGTAGGTCAGACACCCCCTGCCTCTTCCACTGCAGCAGCTAGGGGCCAGCTGAGAAGTGCCTGTCCATGGTTGCTGCAGCGGGCTCCGCTGGGGGAGAGGTACATGTCACCCTGGTCAAGGGACAGACACACAGACTCTTGGAAATATGTAATAGATAGCTGTTCCTTTCTCCACCCCTACCCCTGCAGGCCCAATGGATCTACACATGTCCCGGTCCCCACCACTGGTCCCTTGCTGCCCCCTGTGGTCATTCTACAATATAACTGTCCCTCCTACCAGACCCCTCCCTTTCCATGTTATGAGAAACAACTTCACATTGTCCTAGCACAACCAAACCCTGACCTTGCTTTAAGTTAGGAGAAGAGGAAGCTGCCTACCAAATTTGGTGGTCCTAGCTCTTACCATTTAGGAAGAATTCTTGAACAAACCAACTCTCAGACATATGGACGGACACAGACAGACAGACAAACTCTCTCAAATATATAGTGGATATATAGATTCCTAGGGCTGGAAGACCTCAGGAGGTCATCGAGTACAGCCCCCTGCCCAAAGCAGGACCAACCCCAACTTAATCATCCCAGCCAGGGCTTTGTCAAGCCGAGACTTGAAAACCTCTAGGGATGGAGATTCCACCCCCTCCCTAGGGAACCCAGCCCAGTGCTTCACCACCCTCTTAGGGAAATAGTTTTGCCTCATATTGTATCTGGACCTCCCCCGCTGCAACTTGAGACCATTGCTCCTCATTCTGTCATTTGCCACCACTGAGAACAGCCTCTCTCCAGCCTCTTTGGAACCCCCCTTCAAGTAGTTGAAGGCTGCATGAAATCCCGCCTCACTCTTCTCTTCTGCAGACTAAACAAGCCCAAATCCCTCAACCTCTCCTCGGAGGTCATGTGCTCCAGCCCCTAATCATCTCAATTGTCCTCCGCTGGACCCTCTCCAATGAGTTCACATCCTTTCTATAGTGGGGGGCCCTGAACTGGACACAATACTTGGGATGCAGCCTCACCAGTGCTGAAGAAAGGAGAATAATCGCTTCTCTAGATCTGCTGGAAATCTTTCTCCTAATGCACCCTCATATGCCTTTAGCCATCTTGGCTACAAGGGCACACTGTTGACTTATATCAAGCTTCTCATCCACTATAATTTCATCCACTATAATCCCCAGTTTCTACCAAACTACTGCTTAGACAGTTGGTCCCCAGGCTGTAACAGTGGGATTCTTCCATTCCAGATGCAGGATGCTGTACTTGTCCTGGTTGAATCTCATCAGATTTCTTCTGGCCCAATCCTCCAATTTGTCTAGGTCACTCTGGACCCTATCCCTACCCTCCAGCCTATCTACCTCACCTCTTAACTAAGTGTCATCTGCAAACTTGCCGAGGGTGCAATCCATCCCCTCATCTCGGTCATTCATGAAAATGATGAACAAAACTGGCCCTAGAACCAATCCTTGGGTACTCCGCTTGAAACAGACCTCCAACCAGACATTGAGCCGTTGATCACTACCTGTTGAGCCCAACAATCTACCCAGCTTTCTATTCACCTTACAGTCCATTTATCCAAATTCATACTTCCTTAACTTGCTGGCAAGAATTATGTGGAAAACTGTACCAAAAGGTTTGCTAAAGTCACGATATATCACATCCACTGACCTGCCCATGTCCACAGAGCCAGTTACCTCATCATAGAAGGCAATCAGGTTGGTCAGGCAGGCCCTTGGTGAATCCATGTTAACTATTCCTCTGTTCCAAGTGCTTAAAAATGGATTCCTTGAGGATCCCTTCCATGATTTTTATACGGGTACTAGGTGAGGCTGACTGGTCTGTAGTTCCCTGGATTTTCCTTCTTCCATTTTTTAAAGATGGGCACTACATCTTTTTTCCAGTAGTCAGGGACTTCTCCCAATCCCCATGAGTTTTCAAAGATAACGGCCAAAGGCTCTGCAATGACATCTGCCAACTCCCTCAGCAACCCTGTGCATGAACACAGAATCGTTGTTGTTCAGCTTATCTGGCTACCGATTCTCCACATAGACTTATAATCGTCTGTGACCTCACGATCATCTCCCCTGCACCTAACAGAGGTTTATCAATACAGCCAAGTGACGTTTTTCAGGTGAATAGTTTATTCACAGAAAAATGCCATTTTGATTGACCACAACCCTTAGTACATTTTTCCAATGAATAATTACTGTCTCTGTTAGGTATCGGGGTTAGCTGTGTTAATCTGTATCTGCAAAAAGAACAAAATGCACCTGACACAATAAGTCTTTGCCTATGAAAGATTATGTCCAAATAAACCTGTTCATCTTTATGGTGCCACAGGACTCCTTGTTGTCTTCACTATTAAGGAATTGAACATTATTCATGATCTGAATTTGTCTGGCTTTAAGACCGAAGGATGGGTTCCCCAGAAACTCCATGCTTCTCTACTGCCTGGTATCCATGTGGGCCAGATTTTCCCCCGGACAGCTCCATGTGGGATATGACTGATCTGTAGTTTCCTTGATTCTCCAACAAATGGGCACTATATTTGCCCTTTTCCAGCCTTCTAGAATCTCTCCCATCTTCCAAGACTATTCAAAGGTGATAGCTAATGGCTCAGATATGTTCTCAATCAGCTACTTGACTATTCTAGGATGCATTCCATCAGGCCCTGAAGTCCTGAAGATAGCTAACTTCTCTAAATAATTTTCACTAGTTTTTTCCTATTTTAACTTCTGAACCTACCTCATTTTCTCCAGCATTCACTATGATAGGTGCCCAGTCACCACCAGCCTCCTTGGTGAAAACCAAAACAAAGAAGTTATTAAGCAGCTCTATCATTTCTGTTATCATTTCCTCCTCTTCATGAGTAAGGGGCCTCTCTTCCTTTTGCTTCTAATATATTTGTAGAATGTTTCCTTTTTACCCTTTATGTCTCTAGCTAGTTTGAACTTGTCTGTTGCTGTTTCAGCAGAAAGAAGAGATAATCATTCACCTTGCTTTGGTTACGGTGCACTGAAGTCTACACAAAGAATAGTTATTTGGGTTCTTAACTTTTTGCTCCACAAGTGGATTTTTTTAAAGGTACTTAGTATCCAAAGAACACAGTGTGCTACATCAAAATCAGTTTTCACAAAGGACAAATTTTGCGTCTTGCTTGTGCAACAATGTCTAACAAATTTACTATACTGAACTTTTTCCAAACCTCTTAAGCCTACATAACTTTTAGCAGATCCTGTGATCAAAAGTACTGGAAGCCACATGCCTTTATGATTCTGAACAAGATTTGGAAATGAAGTAATTTGGATGTTGCAATAAATTCTATACAGTAAAAACATTGTCTCCTCATAATGAAAGAGGATATTTCAAAAAGTGAAATTCTGAAGGAGAAAAAAAAAGTACTCCATCTACATTCCTTCACTGGTGCTTCTTGAAGCAATGTACCAACATCCTTTGATTAGTATGTACGTCTTTGCCAACCATGACCTATCAAGATTGACTCCGTCTCCGAACTGCTCGTTTATAATTACCCATTATGAAAATACAGATAGTAGAACCCAAAAGGCAAAGAGAAAGAGAGACCACTCTCCAATTACCGATATAGGTTTTTATTTACTTGGGGTAAAACCATTTCAATTTTCTTTCCCTGATATCAAAATTAATTGGGAACTGCAGCATAGGATGGTCTCTCTATCCCCATTACAAATTCTGAATACATTCCTCAGGGTGGCCATTATACACCTTTTCCAACAAGAAATGCACCTACAGAATCTAGCATTTCTTCTGCTCCCTAATCAATCCAAAATCATTCTACATACAAGGAAACAGCCACAAAGAAAAAGGCTGGATATTTAATTGGTCACATCAAACAAGAGAAATAGAGCAAAACCCACCCCTCAGGCTGAACCAAAAGCTTCAAAGAAGATACTCTAGGGAAGTGTTTGGCATCGTTCAGCCAACTATATTTCCATCCTGCGGAAGGAGGATTCGATTGTGTGGACACGAATGCACAAGCTCTGAATAGAAGCAGAATGACTGAGTTGCCCTTGACTATAGAATCACAGAATCCTAAACACTGGAACTGAAAGGAACCTTGAGAGGTCATTGAGTCCAGACCCCTCACCTCACAGAAGGGGCCAAATACCATCAGACCATCTCCAACAGGTGTCTGTCCAACCTGCTCTTCAATATCTCCAGTGATGGAGATTCCACAACCCCCTTAGGCAATTTATTCCAGGGTTTAGCCATCCTGATAGTTAGGAAGTTTTTCATAATGTTCAACATAAACCTCCCTTGCTGCAATTTAAGCCCATTGCTTCTTGTCCGACCATCAGAGGACAAAGAAAACAATTTTTCTCCCTCCTCCTTGTAACACCCTTATAGGTACTTGAAAGCTGCCCTAGTTTATTGATAAGATCATGTGAGATCGTGTCAAATGCCTTACTAAAATCTAAGTATACCACATCCACTGCTTCTCCCTTATCCACAAGGCTTGTTATCCTATCAAAGAAGCTATCAGGTTGGTTTGACATGATTTGTTCTTTACAAATCCATGCTGGCTGTTATCTATCACCTTATGTTCTTCCAGATATTTGCATATGAATTCCTTAATTACTTGCTCCATTATCTTCCCTGGCATAGAAGTTAACATGACTGGTCTGTAGTTTCCTGGGTTGTTCTTATTTCTCTTTTTATAGATGGGCACTGTATTTGCCCTTTTCCAGTCTTCTGGAATCTCTCCTGACTTCCATGATTTTTCCAAGATAATAGCTGAAGACTGAGATACTTCCTCTATCAGCTCCTTGAGTATTCTAGGATGCATTTCATCAGGCTCTGGTGACTTGCAGACATCTAACTTTTCTAAGTAATTTTTAACTTGTCCTTTTATTGTAACTTCTAAACCTACTCCGGTTCCCCTGGCATTTACTAAGGCTACAACTAGATTGCACTGGTAAATCTGAAAAAGATACGCAATTTGTGGTAAATTGCATATCTTTTTCCAATTTACTTTTGAAAGAGGCTTTTCCGAAATTTGGCACATTTACACGGCACCAAATTTTGGAAAAAAATGCTCTTTCAATACATCCCTGGCTTATTCCTTGTAGAATTAAGTTTACAGGGACGGCAAAAGAGCATTTCCGCTTTTTTGAATTTTTTTTTGAAAACCAGATGAGTTCCTTGGATGTAGCGTTCCAGGAGGTATCCCGGAAAAGGAATGCAGTCTAGATGTAGTCTTTGTTAGGCATCCAGTCACCATTCATCTTCTTGATGAAAACCAAAACAAAGAAGTCATTAAGCACCTCTGTCATTTCCCACTTTCCCATTGTTGTTTCTTCCTCCTCACTGAGCAATGGGTCTACCCTGTCCTTGGTCTTCCTCTTACTCTTAATATACTTGTAGAACATCTTCTTGTTACCCTTTATGCCTCTAGCTAGATTTAGCTCTTTGTGTGTCTTTGCCTTTCTAATCTTCCCCGCATACCTGTGTTGTCTGCTTATATTAATCCTTTGTAATTTGGCCTAGTTTCCACTTTGTAGATGACTTTTTGATCATGCAAGATCTCCCAGTTGATCCAAGGTGGTCTCCTGCCATACTTTTTAATCTTTCCTACTCAGTTGAATAGTTTGGTTTTGGGCCTTAAAAATGTCCCTTTAAAAAACTGCCAACTCTCTTCAATTGTTTTTCCTCCTAGTCTTGCTTCCCATGGGACCTTACCTACCAATTCTCTGAGTTTACTAAACTCTTATTATAACAAGGTGTCGATACTCTTTGAGTGATTCAAAACGAGATGGATGAGTTGATAGATTAGATATTGTTTGCAGTGGTGGTGTTGTCCTAGAGGTCCCAGAATCTGGGAGCGAAAAGGTATGTAGATAACACCTTTCATTGGAGCAACTTCTCTTGGTGGAGAGGACAAACTGTCCAGATGGAGAGCTGGTGTGTGGCAAGCTGGGGTATAAATCTAGAGCACACACACCTGGCCATCTGGATCCTGCTAAAGTGCACTAAAGGCACTCTAGTGAGTTTGAGCAAACTACATTGGAACAGTGAGTGCATGGCACACTCATGCAAACACTGACTTATACCCCAGCTTGCTGCATGCTAACTCTTCCTCATCCACACAAGGCCTTATTTTAACCTGACCATTAAGCCCTAATCCTGCAAACTCAGATTTATGTGCAACTTCACACGTGCATGAATAGCACCCCTTAATTCAATGAGACTTCCCCACATAAGTAAAATTAAGTATATGCATAAATTGTTGCAGGAACGGGGCCTTAAAATATCTAAGTTATTTTTATTTTTCAACTGTGGGTCTTTAAACAGTTATATTTCAGTGAAATCAGAGCGGGGCATACGTTTTCGTAGGTAAAAACCCACTTCATCAGAGGTGTCTGATGAAGTGAATTTTTCCCCATGAAAATAGATGTCCAAACAAATCTGTTATAATTTCTAAGGTGCCTCAGGATGCCTTGTTGTTTTTGTGGATCCAAAGTAACACAGCTGCCCTCCTAATACATTTCAGTGGAATGTTTCAGTTGAGATAATTTTTCATCGCATTTATACTTTACAAATGAAGTGAAAATTAACGAATGGCAGTGATGCATGAGTGAATTAATGAGTGGCATTGATGCAAACAAGTGTACAGAAATTTTAATAAAAATCATGGCTCCAATAAACATAATGAGAAATTTAGGGCTAAAAAAAATCAGCCGCACGACATGCGGCAACAAATCCACAGCCGCAAATAGTAGAGAAGTATACATCATTTTCAAAATAAATTTTCCTAATTTTCCAAAGAGCACAGCAACCCACAGGAGAACAAGTGGAATATTCGACTCTTTAGAAAAAGTGGACCAAAATTTCTAGAGAATTAAAACCAAGTTGTTCACATGCGGGGGAGGCGGGTGCACTGAACATATAAGCTCCTGGGCACAAACCAGCTTTATGCAAAATTTAATGAAAACCAGATTTAACCCTCTGGATGCTGCAGACAGTTCGGTGTGCATTCTCCTCAGCATGTAGTTGGCTGCCTCTCTGGAAAATTGTGGCTATGTGACTTCATCAAAAAGGATTTTAAATGTATTTTGGAAGATGTATCACAGTTCTAAATGGAGAAGGTTTAAAATGCAATCGTCAATAGGATTTGAATCCAATAGCTTTGAAATACCCTGAAAAAAAACATTTTATACATTAAACCGCATACACTATTTGCACCTACAGGAATTGAAAAAAACCCACAGAGCCCATACTGTTCAATGAATAATAATGCTTTTCACTTCCATAGTGCCTATAATGATAGAATCCAAAAGCATTCCACAAATGTTCACTACTAATGTCTCATGTAATTTTTTGTAATAATATATTATAATCATTTCACACAGAGAGAAAAAGAGAAACAAAATTACATGAAGTGATCAAATGAGTCCGTGCTATGAATAAGATTCGATCCTAAGGTCCTGATCCTACAATATGATCAATAAACTTAGCAAACTCCACAAAGGTGCATGGGTCAGAATTAGGGTTGTTAAATATCGGTTAATTGATTAACCTCATGAATTCTTATCGGTTCCTCGACTATTCTATAGTCCCCAGAGGTGGAGACAGCAACCAGGCGGGAACTTGTCTGTGAGGGGAGCCAGTTTAAAAACCAGCTCTCCTCACGGATTGGCTGCCTGTCACCCCAGGTATAGAGGAGCTTCACTAACTGGGCATGGACTCAGTACCATAATTTTTCATTAACATTTTTCAATGGTCTACGTTTCGCCCTCATTCATATGGGAAGAGAGCAGTCTGTGCACCCAGCATATTGGTCTCTTGTGAATAACTGCATAGGTACCAAGAAAAGAAAAACCAATGCCACGGCTAGGCAGACACTAAGTTGCAATATTAAGTGGACATACTCTAGTTTCCTGGGATTCCCCTAAATTAGCCACCTAAAAAGTATTTTGAAAGAATATTTAGAAGACAAATAACTAGAAACTCCCATAGCCCATAAAACTGTAACCTCAATCCTTTCTCACTACCACTAGTGAATAAACTCCCACTTCTTTGTAGATTAACAAGCGGTATCAAAATATCTTGAAATT